GGGCACTGGGTAGCTTCAACCACATAGCCTAAAGAGACAGCTTCCTGCCATGCTGGATACAAGCCAGCTTCGTTGAATGCTCCCCGACCCAATGACTTTCTGATATGCTCTCTGCATATCGCTCCATATCAATATCTACAGGTATAACAATATCCAGAGCAGTGCTTTGACCCTGTAGCCTCATAAACAATACTATGGTGTGAATGTCTGTTTGAAAGACCATGTATTGAATTACATACATCCACACGTCAAAAGTACATAATTGAGACACAGACCTGTTACGCAACCGCAGTTGTTAGTATTAATGGCGTGCTTGGCAGTTTTATCGACCACTTTCAGCCAAACGTTCCCTTGTTTGTTTAGAAACACTTTAGGCACAAAAGACAACAGCGAACGCCTGGGGGTTTTCTCCCGAGTGACTCCCCTCCTCCTTTCCGCTCCAAAGAGGAAGTAAGATTGTGTATAATAGTGTAGCGCAACGATGGATGTTACCAGTTCTCCTTATTGGGGGTCAAAGGAAAACACAAGAAAACAATACATGAGTTTAACACAGTGATGAGGGTGTTGTAATACTTTCATAGGTCTTGGAGCCTAACAACCCCTCAAGCAGTGACCTGACACTAGTTAATGTTTAGTCTCAGTCAAGGTTGTTAAATGACAATCATTTCTCATTTTGACTTTCTTTGTATGAATCCAACCAAAAAGCACAAAATATCCCTTTCCTCAAGCAGATAAAAACAATGTACGTAAATGTTTTAGTTTCTACTGACTGCAGACCCTTGATAAGACCCTTCTTAAATTACCTCACTGGCCAATAAAGTTAAGTGTTCATTTGTGACACTTACGTACTTGTGTATATCAGGCCTGGGTTAAAGTAAATATGCAAAAGCAGGTTTGCTTTGTGGAGAGTGAGCGAATGCTCTGAGAATTTTCCTATTACTGAAAAGCAGACATGAGGCCATTTTGCCATTAAAACTGAACCCCAGCCGGGCCCTGCCAAGCGGCACTGGCTGCACAGAGACCAATTAAAATGGCTGGAAATTAAACCAGTCTAACAAATGACTTTATGCTGCTGGACATGAATGTGTTTACAGTGATGTCTGCAATGGACTCCCTAACTCTCTCTCTCTCGCCCATAGCCCATAACTTAACCCCATACTTATGTTGCCACTATATTACCAATCACATTCTTGGACACACACATTATACACTGAATATACCAAACATTAGGAACACCTTCCTAATATTGAGTTGTACCACCCCCTTTTGCCCTCAGAACAGCCTCAATTCGTCGGGTCATGGATTCTACAAGGTGTCGAAAGCGTTCCACAGAGTGTTGCTGCCCCATGTTGACTCCAATGCTTCCCACAGTTGTGTCAAGTTGGCTGGATGTCCTTTGGGTGGTGGACCATTCTTGATACACACGGAAACTGTTGAGTGTGAAAAACCCAGCAGATTTGCAGTTCTTGACATTGTCTCAAGGCTTAAAAATCCTTCTTTAACCGGTCTCCTCCCCTTCATCTACACTGATTGAAGTGGATTTAACAAGTGACATCAATAAGGGATCATAGCTTTCACCTGGATTGTGTCGAGGCACAGATCTGGGGAAGGGTCCAAAAAATGTCTGCAGCTTTGAAGGTCCCCAAGAACACAGTGGCCTCCATAATAATAATAATAATAATAATAATAATAATAATAATATGCCATTTAGCAGACGCTTTTATCCAAAGCGACTTACAGTCATGCGTGCATACATTTTTTTTGTGTATGGGTGGTCCCGGGGATCGAACCCACTACCTTGGCGTTACAAGCGCCGTGCTCTACCAGCTGAGCTACAGAGGACCACTTTCTTAAATGGAAGAAGTTTGGAACCACCAAGACTCTTCCTAGAGCTGGCCGCCCGGCCAAACTGAGCAATTGGGGGAGAAGGGCCTTGGTCAGGGAGGTGACCAAGAACCCAATGGTCACTCTGACAGAGCTCCAGAGTTCCTCTGTGGAGATGGGAGAACCTTCTAGAAGGACAACAATCTCTGCAACACTCCACCAATCAGGCCTTTATGGTAGGGTGGCCAGACGGAAGCCACTCCTCAGTAAAATGCACATGATAGCCCACTTGGAATTGCCAAAAGGCATTAAAAGACTCTCAGATCATGAGAAACAAGATTATCTGGTCTGATGAAACCAAGATTGAACTCTTTGGCCTGAATGCCAAGCATCACGTCTGGAGGAAACCTGGCACCATCCCTACGGTGAAGCATGGTGATGGCAGCATCATGCTGTGGGGATGTTTTTCAGCAGCAGGGACTGGGAGATTAACAGAGCAAAGTACAGAGAGATCCTTGATGAAAACCTGCTCCAGACCTCAGACTTGGGCGAAGGTTCACCTTCCAACAAGACAACTACCCTAAGCACACAGCCAAGACAATGCAGGAGTGGCTTCGGAACAAGTCTCTGAATGTCCTTGAGTTGCCCAGCCAGAGCCCGGACTTGAACCCGAACGAACATCTCTGGAGAGACCTGAAAATAGCTGTGCAGCAACGCTCCCCATCCAACCTGACAGAGCTTGAGAGGATCTGCAGAGAAGAATGGGAGAAACTCCCCAAATACAGGTGTGCCAAGCTTGTAGTCATACGCAAGAAGACTCGAGGCTATAATCGCTGCCAAAGGTGCTTCAACAAAGTACTGAGTAAAGGTTCTGAATACTTATGCAAATGTAATAATGATGTTTATTTTATTTTATACATTTGCTAACATTTCTAAAAACCTGTTTTTGCTTTGTCATTATGGGGTATTGTGTGTAGATTGATGAGGGAAAAAAACAATTTAATCCATTTTAGAATAAGGCTGTAACGTAACAAAATGTGGAAAGAGTCAAGCGGTCTGAATGCACTGTATTTCATCGTAACTCTGAAAGTGGAAACATGTTTTGCTTGTAGTTGCCCACGTGAGGAACTGTCGGCGAATGTTTAGAAAAGATTAGATTTCCAAATTATGAGCTCTGCTTTGTTTAATGGGGTTCATCACAATGCCATGGAAAGTTGAGTAATTTGCCTGTTATAACCAAGACTAAGAGATGACATAATGGTGTAATCATTGTCGTCACACCATCAACGATCTATAAACAATTCAGAGAACTCTAAAACAGTTACCAAGACAGCAATCAACAGCCAATGATGATGATTGTGTGTTTATGTATGACACGTTACAGTTATTCGGGTCAGATCATTCAGTCCACTTAGTGGAAGAAAATAGAAAGAAAGATAGTAACTCAAGGTCAGATGCAAATCTTACACAGATCTTTATTATAGATTTTTGTGTCGTTTTTACACCACATACATACAGGCCATGGCAGTCATATCACATAGACCGTTTACTTTTCAGTACAGTCAAACATCTACACTCATATTTTCCTTCTTCAACACTTTCACAACACCTTCATCTGTTTTCTCCCTCCAACATACATAGTCTTTCTTTTAAAATTTCTCTCACTGGCTTTTGACCAGTGCCTCAAACCTCCATTTTTGACAAGGCACCACATCACAGCTCACTCAGAACTATATCATTGCGTGGCTAGTGGCTACACACACCTTGAAACAAAAACCCCAACTTCTCAGTTCCAACACATTCAACATTTCCCTCTTTTTTTCCACATCTCTCAAGCCTTCTGCTAACATACTCTTGCTTTTCTCAACCCATCTTTGTGGTTTCTTTCAGCTATAGGTCATCTCCTCAGTAGATCCCAACCCATCAGATAAGCATGTATATGCTGCTGCCACTACTGTGGCTGGGCAGTGGCAGTGTCAACAACTAAAGCTCCGTGCAAGATTGCTACATTGAAAAGTGATCAATTTTTTTATTCGGAAGAGTCAGCTTTTTAAACCAACATGGCTCAGTTTTAAATTGTTTTTACATTGTAGTAAAACAAAATACCTCATTTGATATGCGTTGACATCAAATTACATGGCATTACTACATTCTGTAGCAATGTATGTTTTGTTCAATTAAAAAAATAGATACAATTGAATGCGATTTGATTAAAATGAAGGCCTTTAACTGCAGTAGATACAAAAAGATGGGCGGATCAAAAAAAAATCTGTTATTAGGAATGTACAAAAATAAGACCTGTTCTCCAGTACAGCTATGAATCGGACTTACAGAGACAATTATAGTTTTCAGTTTCATTTACATTTTACATTTTAGTCATTTAGCAGACGCTCTTATCCAGAGCGACTTACAGTTAGTGAGTGCATACATTTTTCATACTGGCCCCCCGTGGGAAACGAACCCACAACCCTGGCGTTGCAAGCGCCATGCTCTACCAACTGAGCTACATGGGGCCCCAGTTTAGTCACATAATTTCTCAATTTACAATATGTCTGCCAATCAGATGTGAAGCCAGACATATTTGCCACTCCCTTTGCTTTATTTCTCTCAACTACACAGTTTTTCAATTCCTCATCAATCCAGGGGACCTTAACAGTTCTAATAACTGGAAAAAACAAATTAATGTTTCGTATGCATCTCATCTTTTGTGGGAACTCTACCCTTCTATCCACCTCCACATCCCCAAAAACATTTAAATAACTTCAGCTAAAAGCTAGAAACAGTGCTGTTTTAAAACATAGAGCTACAGTAAGATTCAGATTGATAAAATAAAATAAAAGGAGTTAAAGTTTAATTTTTTTTAAAAATGATTCTAAAATAATGTTTTAATACAAATCAAACAGTAAACAGGACTAGATGCACGACTTCTCTCCAACACATGAGTGTGTTTGCTTCTTGTTATGCTTCCCTTATAGAATTAGTGAAAGCCAAGCAGGCCTCTCCAGAATACTGAATGGTATGCACTTAGCCCCTTTGTGGACAGAACCAAACAGTGGAGGGATGGAAGGGTAAAGTAAATAGCTGCCAATGGGGACAGTAACACAAAACACTGTTGTAATAATAAACAGACACATAAATAAAAGTCCCACGGGGAGGGGACACCCAGCCCCCCCCCCCCCCCCTTCCCCCTCCTTATGTACAAACATATTGTCCGATCGCCCAGGAGTCCATTTTCTCCCCTCCTCTAATTACACCATGGTCTCCTTCCTCTTCCCTAAGGCACAGAGGGAGCGCTTGTCCTTTTTGGTTTTGTGTTTGGGCGACGGGGAGGATAGTGGTGATGAAGAGGAGGATGAGGAGCGGGAGGAGGGAGACGTTGAGGTGGGGCTGGGGGTCTCGTCCCCGCATGGCGAACTGGGGGCGGACGTTGGACCTGCGGGCGTCAGAGGGCAGTTCTCGTCGGCCTCCTCTATGTGGATGATGGCGGAGATTTTGGAGGAGCGCCGCTTGGAGTGGGCGTCGGCTGCCGGGGAGGAGGCGGGTGTGGTGACAGCGGCGTCCGCGGGGTGGTGGACGGAGATGGCGCTGCGCAGGCAGTTGAGCCACTGCTGCTTGTGGAAGACGTCATTGACCTGCAGCGTGTGGGACTGGCCCTGAGACGGGTCTTGGAAACGCACACGGAAGATGTTCTTGGCTGAAGAGATGAACAGGGAACGAGAGGTTAGATTAACCATCAGTTTCAGTTACAGGCTTTAACCTCCAGCTAGACATGGAAGGTCATAGGTGAGGGGTCAGGGGCTCACCTTTGTCTGAGTTACTGAATGCTCCTCTGAAGGAGCCACCCATCTTGACGTCTCCATCCTGTAGGTCCTCCAGCACCAAGTCCTGCACCGGGATTGGCTGCCGGTACACCTGGAAACAGTGGTGCTCGTTCCTCGTCACAGACCGGGTCATTACCAACAGCTCTGTGAACAGGAACACGTGCAGCTTCTGGAGAGAGGGGGGACAAAAGGAAGGAGAGAAGATTTAAAAATCATTATTAAAATCAGATCATTGCCAACGTTTTGTTTAATTTCAGGCATAGTTTCTCACATTCTCATCTGCCAACAGTTTTTTTTCCCTGAGGACTTGTTATCATTGGTAGAGATTCTCATGTGGGTTATGTAATTCATGTGTTATGCGGTCCGTTTGAAATGAAAAAGGTCCATGTTTTGGCCCCAACTGCCTTATTTGGGGGTGCAGAGCTCATGTTGGTGCACATGAGGGTTAGGAGGAGCCAGGGAAGAATCATTGCTTTAGGTGGATTGGGGTGCGAGTGTGTGCCTTTTAGCATTATAATGTGTGTGTGTATGCGTGTGTTCTAAACTCACTGTTCCGCTCTTGTTGCGTAGCTCGCCGTGACACAACAGACTCTTGCACTGGTCGATGCGCGGGTCTCTTTGCCTGTCGTCCAGATACTCCAGTTTGTCTATGTAGTACTGGCTCTCTGACTCCCCCTTCTTCATGTTGATGTCAGACAACACACCCTGGATGATGGTGATCTGGAGACACACACATATACACATTGTTATAGTCACAACCTGATAGGATACAATTATATATTTGATGTTTTCAGAATGCTGTATTCATAAATCTTTGTGTGTCCTTCGCTCCACTCACTGCTTGCTCCAGGCGGGGCGTGTCGGGGTGCTCGGGCGCTGTGTGTTTGAGGATCTCTCTGAGCAGGAGGGGGTATTTGAACAGACGGGAGCGGGGGATGTCCAGGAAGCTCCACAGGTCCAGCTTCCTGCTGAAGGGAGACTCCAGGCAGCGCTGCAGGAAGTCCTGCACCCTCCGGTCCTGTTTCTTCTGGTCCAACAGGGCCTTGGCCGCCACCTGGTTACTGCAGTAATCTCGGTATGCATTCAGCCCTGGCAACTGGAGGGGAGAGAGATGTACCGTACCGTTAGCACTTTGGCCATTCACTGCAAGATAAAACATACAGATATGTCATAAAGGGGCATCTTTATGACATCTTCAACACTTTGGTCCCTGCTAGATAAACACTTATACAGGTAGAGAGATAGAGAGGTCAAAGTTGAGTGGGCACAGGCTCTGGTACGTACCCAGCTGACGACGATCTGTCCTATCTGTCCCACGGTGCCGTCGGGGCCGGTGGCTCTGGCCAGCTGGGCCAGCAGGTCCTCGTGGAGGGGGATGTAGGCATCCAGGTCCCCGAAGATATGGGTCAGCTCCTCCTCCGACATGATACTCAGCTTCAGCATGGGGTCGTGGTACGCCTGGAGGAGAGAGAAAATAGAGCCAAGCAGTCATTCAACGGCTTATTTAGAAAAGAGAGAGGGAGGCTAAGTATAGCACTGGAGGAAAGGTTTTAGTTAGAGAGAAATGGAATGGAATCATTCCTTTCTTTTTATAGCTAAATGGGTAATGGTCGGTCATGTTTAGAGGAGAGCTTCCAACTAGTCTCTGATTTGATCTGTTTACTTAATATGTACTTTCGGAGGGTTTTAAATAAAGTACGAACCTTGCGTGCGAGTTGGAGGTCCTCAATCAGGTCCTGTTCTCCGCGAGTCAACTCAAATATGGCCTGAGGAGGAAGGAGATGTATATTTAAAAACAACATGGAACAGGATGTCATGCTAAATTAAAAAACACTGAGTACATATTAAACCGCATCAAACTAAAGAGGACACCAAATTACTGAGTACACATTAAAGTAAGAGGACAAATCAACGCCAAATTACTGAGGTCAATGAGTTGCCAAATTCTTGGGTCCCTTCTCTCTCCATTACCCTCTAGTTCTCTGTCTCTCTCTGTACTGAGCGTTGTTTATGGTTTTTGAGTATTCTGACTGTTGGTTGAGAGGTCTGTCAGGCCAGGGGTACATTAGTGACGTCAGACACCAGCTCTGGAACAGACTGGTGACAAACTGGTCCCTGACCGCTTTCTAAACCCATTTAGCTCACTCAGCACAAATACCGAGGGGACCTTCCAAACAAACAAAAGTCTGAACTCTTGTCTGAGAATCAAAGGAGAAAAACAGAGAAGGGGGGGGGGGTAAAGGAGGGCAGGAAAACCGCCCCAGCCCTCTGGCTTTAATAACTCTGTCCCAGGCTAGGTTGAATACCGTGGCGTCTGGCTTTGTGACCTGGAGCGCACTCAGTCATCTGGAGCGCTTTAGCAGGGCCAGCCGAACTAGACATCAGGTATGTGGTTCAGTCTCTTACCTCACTCTGTTCTAAGCTCATCACAACCATCTATTGTTGCAGCCGAGTTCCCATTCCTTCTCTATTGCGATTTGTTTGAAAAGAGATGTGAGAATCTATGGTGACGGTGCTGATTCTCACCTCCTGTCTCTTGATCTCCTTGGTGGAGAAGGTGCCCTTCTGGTGGACGTCTAATGTCTCCGACCACAGCGTGCTGTTGCGTCTCTTGGGCGGCGTGGGCACCGCCGCCTTGCTGCATGGCTTCTGGGGCACGCCCGGCGTCTTGCCACCATTGCCATCGCCCCGGAAGGACATGGACTGGATGGTCTGGCCGAAGCGCCGGACGGCCCCATTCTTCACGGGGGAGATGAGGTTAGCCAGCGAGGTCACCCTGCCGAGAGGACGGACACGCTTGTTGCTGGGTTCCTGGAGAGAAGAGAGAGAGAGGGGGGAAACACAGATAAGGCCTCGGATTCTCAACTTCCTTTCTCATTTACCATAAACCCATAAACTCTTTTAGCAGAAGCCTCACCAGGAAACAGCTAGAAGCGTCGCTATGACTGATATCACTTGGCCCTCATGATGTAAGCCATGAATCCCTATCGGTGACACTACCTCCACAAGGGACTTTGTCATGAGACTGTTACTAGGGAGGAGGGGGTTAGAGCCGAGGTCAGGCCATAGAGACAGTGGGCAGGAGGATGCAGCAGCCCCAGCAGCTGTTGCCTCCATCATGTGAGGACTGAGGAGCCCAGGGCAGGCTGGGGGAGCACAAAGACTCCCTTTCTGACTGCAGCCCAGAGGCGCCGACCAGAGAAGGGGCCTGGAGGCATGCCAGGAATGCACGGGACCCCTGCTTTCAGCTGTCTAACACACTCACAATACACACACACACACCCACTTACTCTCTGTCACACACACACAACTACTCAGCATTATGGCCTGACTAAAGTAAACGGGCCGTGAGACAGGGGCTGTTCAGTCACTCAAACATGGGAAGACAAAAGGCCTCATCGTTTAACTCCCGTCTCCCAGAGTTCAGTGAGGTACGGGACAGGACGGTGCTGTGTTTGGACAGCTACAGTAAAACTGGTGTGACTCTGGACGGAAGACCACCAGTGAGAGACAGAGAGGAACTAACAGGCCTCGTCCTAAACAGGCACTAGAATACTGGAATTCTCAGTCTTTTTTTTAGGAGTCACAGGGGGTGGCGTGGGGGGTTTGTGGGCGCGAGTTGGAACAGGACCTGGAGCCCTCGTCGCGTGAGAGAAGCACCACACCTGTGCCAGGTAATCCCGCTTCACCCCCCTGTACTGAGCCCTGAGGCAGGGAGAGGGAGACCGCAACACTCCCCTGCCAACAGCAACAAACATCAGATATCAAAGCACTGCAGATCTGAGGTAATGAATTCATAGACTGTGAGAGAGACCTCTTCAAAAACAGCCAAAACCAGAATCATCATGCTCTTAGACATGATTTGGGAAGAAAAAAATCTGTCTTATGAAATCTATGCTGCATGCTCTATTTGAACCCCCAAGCTCTTAAACTCTCAGAGCCTTCTCCTGACTCAGGATGAATGGGGTTTTGCCTTGGCTCAGCGAAACTGGGGGAACAGAGAGCCATTCAGGCTCCTCCTGGCCCCAGAAGCAGACCACAGCTGCAGAACAGATCTACCACAGAGTCTGGCGTAAAAGCCACCGTGACTGCAGCCAGCTAGGGTCATGATCCAAATGTGGTCGGGTCTTTGACCAGGACCGCCAGACAGTCCAGGAACTTATCTAAACCACTCTATCCCAGAGCCAATAAACCGAGAGGACTAGCACTGACCACATCCGAACCACTCTGACGGTGGTCGAGAAATGGTATGGTCAGAAAGGAATCCCAATCCTAAACACAGGACCGGTTTAAACCGCTTTAGACTTTATTTTAAATGGGCCTCATTACTGAGTGGAGAGAGGACCATAACAGGCACACTGTGTCCAACTAGTGTGCTGTAAACCCCATTGGACAATGGAAACTTAGAGGGTAAATTTGCTTTGGAAATCAAGGGGTCTTCCAATGTAAACTTTGGAAACGTGTTGCCCATTGTGCCTTTCCTGTCATTTGGAGACCGGCCCTGGAATAACAAAGGCCATTGGTGCTGTTCTTTGTACGCCCACCCAGTGTTACTATCAGCTGGAGAGAGCAACATGCAGACTGATAGGACTAGGAGTAGTTTCTATTCCAGGCAGTTGGACTACAGGGAACTCCCTGGAACACTGTCCAGTCTCACTCCCTTCAGGAAGCCAGACATATCCGGGATTTGTGCTGCTGGACTGTTTCGTTCTGTACGGTCTTTGGAACAACCAACCAACAACCGACCCCCCACCCCCTAATACAACGCAGATTGAGGGACCATGGGTACTCACTCAAATCTTCCCTAATGTCCTAAATTGGCCTCCGGTGGTATTTTAATAACAACCCCCCTTCCTCCTCTCTTACCCACAATTCTCTTCTACCTCGTTATCTCCAACCAGAGAGCCAAAGGCTCATCAACTAACTTTATCCACTTTTTCAGCCAGCCCCCCCAAAAGCCCCTTCCTGTGCCCCTGGCCTCCCTTTGATGTAACCCCACGTGTTAATCCCTGCTTGCTTGGCTGTCCCTCCCTGCTGCAGCAGCTCTCTCTCTCCCACTGATTACAGCATAGCTGATAGCAGGGCTGGGCTCTGAGGGAGTGGAACACCACTAATGTTTACCCTGGACTCCAACGAAAGAGCTCATCACAGAGTAACTAAAAACGGGTGTCACAATCATGAACATCTGTTGAGAAACGCGACTACTCACTTCATTGAAGAACTCAACTTCTCCTTTCTGATTTACCAACAATGTAGCCGCTGGCTTCCCCCTGAACCCCCTTCCCGAAATCTAACCACAAAGACCTTGAATGGGGGAAGGAAGGAGACTAGAGAAGTGAGTCAAAAAAGGATTCTGCTGACCAGTGGCTCTGTGTGAATCAGAGAAGAGGCACACCTGGGTTTCTACCCCCTGTCCCTTTAATTGTGTGTGAGGAATGCTCTCAGCCTGCTGTGTGAGCACTCACACCTGAGAGACGCTTCACTGCACTCACTGCCAGGGCTCTGAGAAAAGCCCGGGGGGGTTGGGGGAATCCCAACTGGCAAACTAAAATGTGCAATAATGTTGCCATTAAAAGTTCCAACTTCAAACCCCATAAATTCCAAGTTAGAATGTTATTGCAATGAAAGAATACAGTGGTCCTCTGTAGCTCAGCTGGTAGAGCACGGCGCTTGTAACGCCAAGGTAGTGGGTTCGATCCCCGGGACCACCCATACACAAAAATGTATGCACGCATGACTAAGTCTTTGGATAAAAGCGTCTGCTAAATGGCATATTAAGATTAGGTGAGAAGTCGCAAACATGGTGCTAATTTCAGTATGGCTATTTGTCCCCTGCTGCTACACTACTGGTGTGGTACTAGTCATCCCCCAGGGCTAGGCTGCATTACCTGTCTGGGCAGATAGATTCACACAAAAACCAGCAAAGCTAAAGGGATGGATCGTTTTATGACCCCTGCTCAACAGGTTGCTAGCTGTGCCACTAGAGATCCTGGTTCGAATCCAGGCTCTGCTGTAGCCGGCCGCAACCGGGAGACCAATGGGGCGGCGCACAATTGGCCCAGCGTCGTCCAGGGTAGGGGAGGGAATGGCCGGCAGGGAGGTAGCTCAGTTGGTAGAGCATGGCGTTTGCAACGCCAGGGTTGTGGGTTCGATTCCCACGGGGGGCCAGTATGAAAATAAAAAAAGAATAATGTATGCACTAACTGTAAGTCGCTCTGGATAAGAGCGTCTGCTAAATGACGTAAATGTAATGTAAATGTAAATGTATCATAGAACAAAATCTCTAAAAGTTTGAATTGAACAAGGTTCTGCCAGAGACTAAACACACACACACACACACCTTACTAAGGTGCAGAGTTCAAGTGAGATATGAAGCATGTGACAAATATGCTTGTGATGAAGCTGTTGTTTTTTACGAAGCATGTGACAAATAAAATGTGATTTGATAGCAGAGATAACAGGGCAATGTGCTGATTCACTCACAGATCTGATAAGAGAGATTAGTGGCTATCGCAGCAGAGAACAAGTTCCTGTCCAACTGATACCAAATGACAGAGCCAGCAGAAAGAACATATTAGATCAATCACTTATTCTCCCAGTATCTCACCTCGGACTCTTTGTTGGCTTGGTTCTGACCGTCTATAGCTTGTAGAGTCCGTTTGATAGTCACCAAGCTACCCAGTTCATCGTAAGCCACCATAGCTTTGAGTTAAAAAAATCCAACAAGGTTTCTGCTATATCCAGTTAGTCTTCAAATGATGTCCCCCTCTATTCCTCTTCTTCTTGCTCCGCTATGGGACTTCAGAAAACTCCACACACTACTGCTCTCTCATTCTAGACTTTGGTCTGAGGTGGAGTTAGGGAGGGAGGGTTTAAATACTCAGGGCTGGTAAAGGGAGGAGCAAGCTCTCCAAACCCCTACCACCGTTAAGGGGGGTTACCATTAGAGGAATCAGACTCTCTTCTTGGACGTGAAGAGCTATACAGGCGAAGAACCCTGTTTGCTTTTTGTTGGCGATTCACGCACACAAAATATTTTATTAAAGAATTTACAGATCATGAGCATGGCTCCACACAAAGAGAGTTTACAGTGATCACAAACCATACAGGACACCTGTAGTACTGTGGAAATTCCATGAAGTGAGGCTTCTGTTGTTAAAGTGAATGGAAAAGTTATGCACCATGTGCAGACAGTATTACAGAACAATGATCTCTAAAAGTTTGGCTTGAACAAGGTAGTAATCTGCTAGAGACTAACACACACACACCCTGCTAAGGTACAGTGTTCAGGGGAGATAGAGAGAACAGGGCTAGTTTCTGATTCACTCACAGATCTGATAAGAGAGATCTGTGGCTATCGCAGCAGAGACGTTACAGTCCAACTGATACCAGTTGAGGCAGAAGTATCCGAAAGGTCTAAACATAGTTAATTACTCAATTTAGGGCTGCACAATATGCATAAATAATCTAATTGCAAAAAAGAAATCACCCAATATTATGATTGCGATTTTACTTCCGAAGTTCGATCAAAACACGTCGGTGAACTATTCAGAGTCTATGGTTGGTGTTGTTTGGCATGACAACTAATGAAAAAGCCAGGTACAGTAGACGTTGTTGTGACAGGGTAGGAACCAGTGTTGGTCAGTTTCCCAGGAGACCCTTATTACATTTGAATGTTACATTCATAGCATTAAAAAATATGGATGTCAATATTGCAATTGCGATTAAAATGAGATTAATTGAGCAGCCTTAACTGAGATAAAAGAGAAACTTGCTTAATGTTTTTAAATGTGTTTTATAACTAAAAATAGAGAAACACCTTCTGAGCTCAGATACTGATGCATCATGTGAAAAAGTAGGCCTAGAGGAATTCTACTTCAGATCATTAATCAAGTCAATTCCTTGAAAACAGCAGTTGTAAATATCCACCTATAGAATCTAGTTCAAACACAACCTATAAGTAGAGTGAACCATCATGTAATAAATATCACCGCTCATTATTGAGGGAGTAAATATGGAACACTTCTTTGTCCCCTGGCTTTCTGGTGTGAAGGGTGTAAAGTGCACCACTGTTTGTTGTCTGCTTTAGCTAACGACAGACAGCTGTTACCAGGCTCTGATCAGCAGGGGATGGGGGCGATCAATTAGAATATCAATAAGGGGGGCCCACTCACTCACCTCCTTATTATATCACACTCCTCACATACATTTACGTCATTTAGCAGACGCTCTTATCCAGAGCGACTTACAAATAGGTGCATTCACCTTATAGCCAGTGGGACTCACACACACAGTCTGCACTGGACCCTGTTTATTGAGGGCAGAAGTGTAGGGTGTGGGGTGGGTTTAAATTAAGGGAGTTTAGTTCGTTATTACCCAGAATGCTAGTAGATACTATAGACTTCCAGTCATTGTGCTAACGCTAGTTAGCAACTTCCTTCAAACTGCACACAGAGACATAAAAATGGTATCCACGAGTTCACCAGACTCTGGGGTAGTAGATAAAGGGCTTCATTGCCAAAATCCTGACGTATCCCTTTAAAAGGTGTGTGTGTGTGTGTGTGTGGGGGGTGTAACTGCATCCAGTTTAACAGTAAAGAGGAAGTGAGAAACTAAGTTCATTCTGAAACAGAGTTTAAGTAAAACACAAGCTTGCTTCCCTTTTCCTGCACACCAACTCTCATTTCACAGCCAGACACAATCATGCTCCATTTGAATGAAAGTGAACTGAAACTGTGGTTAAAGAAGTGAAAACACCTGAAGCTAGCCACTAAACCTTGCACATGTTGCTACATACCCATATAACTGCTGCGCAAATGGACTGCAGAATGCAAGGTGTTGACTGTGTGATGGACTGGATAATGTGCTGAGGTGCTATGTGGTGGAAGGGCTGTAAAACCTTGCTATTCATTTAGCCACAGTGTGTGTGTGTGTGTGTCTGTGTTTTGAGCAAATTAATTAGACCAATGTGAAGGCTAAAATTCACCCTCCTGTGTAAATACTGAGGTGTGAAACAGGACATATGCAACTAAGCATGTGTGAGAGTGAGAAAGTGTGTGTGTGTGTGTGTGTGTTGAGAGAAACCCCAAATGGGTTATTGCTGCTAAACTACATGAGGATTGGCACCATGGTTGGGAATGTGTTCATCAGGACTGTCTGTTTACTCTGAGGTAAAACTGATCATGTTATATAGACCAACAGGGCTCTGAAAGTCTGGCCTACATCACTCCACAAGCAGTGTCCACTCCACAAACTGGCCCAACTAGTGGCTAGTCAGGATTCACACCTCAGGGCAAGGTGTCAAATGGTAAATAATAGCCCAGGGGGCAAAGTCTCACTACATGTTGATTTGGGTGATGATTGGATTCCTTGTGAAAAGGGGACCGCAGTTGGCCAGAAGGAAGGATGGTGTGAATGATTATTCAGGTGAGACTGAATAATAATATTTACAAAATGTCTGTTTGCTGGAATATGAATCAGGATACGAACAGTCCGGAGGAGATAGACTATAACCACACCACTGCCCCAGCGTACATTTCCAGTGCAGAAGGTCATGATTGATTGTATGCGAATGTCTGTGTATACAGGAAAAGAGGCTGTTTTGTGCAATCATCCAGGCACAGGGAAGACAACGCGGTGCATCCCCGTGTTAGTCACTCCGTGTGGGGATACCTGAGGCTCAGCCACCCCTCTGTCTGGGCCATTACCCGTGAGCGAACCACCGCATTTAACCATGGCAAGGGGACTGGGAATATGGCAGAATACAAACAGTGTAACTACTCACTTCGCAAGGCAATTAAAACAGGTAAAACATCAGTATAGAGACAAAGTGGAGTCTCAATTCAACGGCTCAGACACGAGACATATGTGGCAGGGTCTACAGACAATCACGGACTACAAAAGGAAAAGTAGCCATAGCATTACCCTCCAGTCTACTGCAGTACCTCCCTGACAGGAACAAACAGAGCTCTGGGGCTTACATCCCCTCCACATCAGCAGTACAGGAAAAGGCTAGTGTTTCATTAGAGCTCTGGAGAAGGCATAACAGCCAACACTGTCTAAAGGGACGCGTTCACTCAACAAGTGGTGGAACCATTGCCCCCTGGTGGTGTGAGTTTGGTGCAAGAATTCAGGTACAACAGATGGCAGATGTGATCTAGTATGAATTTAATATTATTGGATTATTTCTCCCTGTATACATTTGGTCTGTGAGTCCTTATTTGGGCAGGCAGGAAGAGAATAGGCCTACGGGTGTTTATATACTATGATGAACCACGGCTTTAGTGTGATCGTCTCAAACAAGCCCAGGCACTCCAAGATTGAGTGGGCCAAGAGAAAGAAAGATCGTTTCGTTTCTGATACACCAACTCCTGTATTGCCCCATTTCTCACTATTTGGAATTTGCCTCATTTGATCTCTTTCCATTCTTCCCCACCTTCCACCTCTACCTGTTTCCCAACTTCCTGTGGTCTCATTCCTCCCTCTGTCCCTCATCCCTCTGCCTTACTGCCAATCAACCTAGAAAAACTAAAGTAGTCTGTCTCTTCAGCAGCTATTGGAGGGGAGATGAGGACAGGGCTTCTTATCCAGCAGTGCCCCACTAAAACCCATCACAGAGTAGCCATTAAAAACAATACCAGAGATAGCTTTCACACCAGACAAACGTCCCCCGTTTACTCAATAGTTTACTTAAGTGTGTTTTACTCAGTGCACACACCCAGGGCTTCTCTGGTTGCTACCAAACAGTGTGGAGGTAACCAAGAACCACAGGTTTGTCATGACACGGATCAATGCCACATTCATAGAGTGCACACACACACACACACACACACACACACACACACACACACACGTCTAGCTAACCCACCAAGCAAACATGCAGAAGAGAAAAAGAGGTATGGTCAAAGGAGCTGGGAAAGTCACAACTTGTGGCTTCTGGTTTTTCAAGGAACCCGGATTCCAGCCAGGACTAGCGATACTCAATACAAGTGTGCAGCATTTACAGCAAACACCTTCTAGTCAGCTACTCAACCCTCCTACCCTGTATTTATTGTGGCAACATTTTGGCTCTCTGGGCGAGCGTGCAGGTGGCAGGTCAAACCTGGAGGGGTGAGGAGGAGGGGGGCAGAGAACTATATAACAATAGAAGTAGCCTATTGTTTCTAAGTTGTTTACCTGTCTCAACCCCCTCCACTTGGGCCAAAGAGCCAGACAGCAGGGGGTGGTTGAAGATGTATTTGGGGAGGTGTGTGGGGGAGGGGAGTGGATCTGGTCTGGTGCAACAGGTTTGCGAATAGGCCGAGATGCATTTAGATCTTCTTGAGTTATACAGCGTTGTTCTGAAGTAGCCTACATACAATGTGGTTTTGAATTATGTACAGTGGGCAAATTTTAGAGCAGATGGGTTAACAAACTGTAGTTTGCCTGTGTTTAGTTTAAACCAAAGCACATATTTTGCCTGTTGGAGCACGCTGTTAAGGGCTGGCCACATGAGGGGAAAAATGCAACCAATCGCACAATCATCCTAAATTCTAATAAGAAATTAGGTGGTGTTTTTTGTCTTACATTAAAACTATAATATGCTATTATATTCAGTTATGTTATGTAGAATACCATCATTATGTGATCTTGTATGCAGACATTGATTCAGCTTTGATCTAACTTTATTAAAACAAGCACCATTCGCCAGAGTAGACCATTCTCCTAGCAGCCGAATGAGTCCATTTGACATTTTAGTCATTTAACAGATGCTCTTATCCAGAGCGACTTACAGCAGCAATTAGGGTTAAGAGCCTTGCTCAAGGGCACAACAGATTTTTCTAATCAGATGAATAATTG